TGCCACACACCACACACCTTGCCACACACCACACACCTTGCCACACATCACACACTCTGCCACACACCCTGCCACCATTTATGCTCAGAGGTTTGGAGCCAATAATGGCTGAACTCCCAGAAACCGAGAGTCTGGTTAAACCTTTCTTCCTTTAAGCTGGTGACCTCATGTATTTGTCAAAGCCATGGTAAAGCAGTGGACACTCTCACAGCTCTCAGAGAACTTACACCCTAGCAGGGAGGTGGGGGCCACCGCACAAGCAGACAAAGAAGGTACAGGAAACGTCAGGGCACAATGAACGCTGGGAGAGGAAAGGGGTGTGGACCAGGCAGTAGAAGCTGGTACGAGGAACGGGCACAGAGTAACGAGAAAAGTCTTTGCAAACTGAACTCCCAGAGGTTACCACTTCTGCCTCTCCCTCTCCAGAGGCCAGCGGGCGCAGGGGACAGCAGGGGGCAGTGGTACCAGTGGCCAGAACCCGTCTATCCCCCACAGCCAAGCTTCACCCTACACATGCGTATGCCTGTGTGGGTGGAGGGGGTGTCACTGCACTGATTTTCAAGTCCCTTGCGAATGCCAAGCGCTTATATAAACCTCCTCAGAGGAGGAGCGGCCACCTGGTCAGCCATGCTAGGGCAGCTGTCCCCTTCAAGAAAACTGGCCCTTGAGCTCCTTCAAAGACTTTGTTGTGCACTGGTATCTGGGTGGCATTTCAGGTTGACACCAAGCTCTTGTCCCACCCCTCACTAACTTACCACACCCTCCCCAAAGCCCTCCCCATACTGGTTGCTAGGTAACCTGGGACCAGGCTTGGGGGAGGGATCTCAGAACTGCTGGAAGCATTATTAACTCTTCCAGCGCAGCTCTTTGAACCGAACCGTAGTGTGACCTGGGCATGGAAGAGGCTTGATTCCATAAGGGTCACGGTAAAGATGTCAGCCCTAGAGGGGGCAGTACAGGACAGACTTCAATGGAACTATAATTAAGACAAGGAGGGGAGGGTGGGCTGGAGAGATGGCTTGGTGGTTATGAGTAGTACCTGCTGCTCTCCCAGAGGACCTGGGTTCAATTCCCAGTACTCACACGGCAGCTAACAACTGTCTGTGACTCCAGTTTCAGGGCATCTGACACCCCGTTCCGGCTTCTGCTGGCACTACACACACATGGTGCACAGACACACATTCAGCCAAAATGCTTACACACATAAGATTAAAAAATTATGAAAACAGTCCCAGTGTTCCCCCAACAAAATTAAAAGCAAAGCTGGGACAAACCAGAAATTTCCACATCCGAATGGCAGGCACTAACTGAACACCTGCAGTGGGCCAGTCTCTCCAAGGGGTCACAAGAAGGGTGATTCCTGTCCATTAACCATTAACCTTGGGCAGGGTGAATGATCTCACCCTTTCCACGGGTGAGGAAACTGAGACTTGGCAGGGACAATGAGGCTGGATGGAGAAGACAAAGCCCCTTGGCAGGAACAAATGAAGAGGTCTGTGGTATTCGGTTAGACCAAGGTCCATTCACTGTGACCCCCCAATAACCCCCCGCAGTCAGGATGGAGCAACTCATCAGTTGTTAGCGGTCATGAGACTTGCATTTGGGGAATAACCAAATAATAAAGTAGATACCTTCCCATCAGAAAGAGTAGTCAGGAGACAGAAGCACCTGGGTCCAAATCTCCATCATTTCCCTGGCTGTGTGACCTAAGACATGCCACTTGACCTCTCTGAGCCTCGACATCCTATGCAATAATGGGGAGAAAAGTGCCTCCCTCCAAGGTCTATCCTGGAAAGCCAAGCTGAGGTGTGCAAAGCCGCTGTCAGCTGTGCACTGGGGTAGCTCCTGCTCTCACTTCAGGGGTGAGAGACCGGAGGCCCAGACAGCTCAAACCAGGCAGGAAGTTCCAGAGTGGACTTCATGGAAAGGCTCAGCGTCTGAGACTCGGTCATGGCTGTCACTCACCTGGACACCTGGATCAAGCCCCTCTCCTCTGTGGGCCTCGGCCTTCCCAGAGTGTCACCGAGAGGTCAGCTGGGATGGTCTCCGAGGCATTTTCTGCTCTGGAGTTCTCCTAAGCTACCTATCTTAGGCAAACAGGTACTGGGCCTGCCTCCCTCTGTGTCTGACTTTGGGGTCACAGTGGCAGTAGGGTGTTCAGCCAACAAAGTGTGCACGAGTGGGTGTACCTGTGTGTCGACCTGCAGCCAACAAAGGGTGCATGGGTGGATGTACCTGTGTGTCAGCCCGCAGCCAACAAAGGGTGCATGGGTGGATGTGCCTGTGTGTCAGCCCGCAGCAGCAGCAGGCACCACACCAGAACCCAGGCCATAGATCTAGGTTCTCTGGAGGGTGACAATGATGCCCTGGGCAGCTGTGGAAGTCTCATTCTCCAGAGCTCATCATGGCTCTATGTGGGGAAGTTCAGACATGGACACAAGCTCCCGGGTCCTGCCTCTGTCTTCTGCCACCAGCTTACAAGTGCTGCTCAGGGGAGGCGGCATCATCTGTGGCCTCAGCCTGCCCCAGGGTATCTTCCTCTACGCTTCCCTTATCCTGGAGTTTGGGGCTGGGAGGGACAATTTCCAGGCCTATCTTCATCCTTCTGAGCAGCCAACGAATGGAGGAAGGGCAGAGGGTTGGCCTAGGCCTCAGTGGTAAATGCTCTCTTTAGGAACTAGGTCCCCCTGTCAGGTGTGTAGGGCTGTATATTAGGCAGACTGAACTGAAAGCAATCTTCCATTGCGGACTCTGAACCCCCAGCCCACCACACATACAGTCTCACAGCGGGGGGGGGGGGGGCAGGGAGAAAACAGTGCTGATTCAAGGGCTTTCTGAGTGCTGGCCTCCAGTCCTGGGTGGGGTGCTGGGTACCAGGATTCCCAGGGTGGAGTCCTAAGTCCTCTGTCCCAGGAGATGAGTCGGGGACAGCTAGCAGTTCCCTGACCTTGGAGGAGGCAGACGGATGCCCAGAAACACAACTGTGCACACACCCGGGAGGAAGTGGCTTGCTATGCCCTAGGGCCTGGCAGGAGTTGAGCTATGGCATGTGAAGAGCAAGAAACCACCTACTGGGCTGGAATTACAAGGCTGGACAAAGGCTTGTGCCCACAGCCTTCAAGCCTTCAGGCTGGACTTGCCCTTCACATGCCCGACCATTCTGTGTGCTTTCCCCACCCAGGTCCCTCCCATGCACTGCCCCACTCCTGGTTACTTTTCTGCCCCTATCCACAATGGTCATAGCACACAACATACAGTTGCCCTTGGCGAATATTTGCTCAGTGGAAAGACAGCCAAATGCCTTGCTAACATGACAAAAGAAGTAAAGGCTGTCGGGGCTGAAGTGATAATTCAGTGGTTAAAGCACTTGGGAGGCCTGAGTTCAGATACCCAGAAACCAAATGCTGGGTGGGTCTGGTGGCCTGCCTACCATCCTAGGCCTTGGAGGCAGAGACGGGATCCCCACCATACACTAGCTACGTCAGCCAGCTGCAGGTTTGACTGAGACACTCTGCCTCAGTGACAAGACAGGAGAGTGACAGGGGACAATCCCTAACATCAACTTCAAGCCTCCGCCCGTGTGTGCCCACCTACAAGTGCACCTACCTACGTACAAAAACATAACACACACGCAAAACACACACACCTGAAAAATGGAAGAGAAAAAAATAAAGAAATGCTCTCAACAGCCAGAGCTACCAAGGGAAAGTGCAAAGTCAATGAATTCCATGGTCAACAGCTCTTTAGTGGTCCATAGTGCAGGGCGGGCCCTGGGTTCTTAGGGGAGCTGAGGTTCAGGGGCAGGCAGAAGAGACCAGGCCAAACCAAGCAAGGACTTCTCTCCAAGAAGCTCCGACTCTCGGACTCGGCCCCGTTTCTTGGTCTCAAAGTACTTGGGAATGTCTCATTCCCTAAAACAACCAGTGAGCTAATGAGGAGCTGCCTGTCAAGGACCCACTCAGGTCACATTGTCTCCCTCTAGAGAAGGCTACTCACAAGACACAGTCCCATTGACAATGCTGAACTGGTAGCTATTCAAGATGGGCTGGCAGCCATGTTCCTTCAGCTTGTGGTAGCAGCAGTCGTGAGCCCAGCAGCACCTGGCGGGTGGGGAGAAGAAGGTGGAGGACTGCGCCGGTGAGGGGGTGTCCCTGGGGAGTCAGCGGAAGGGCACTGGGTGAGAGCTGGAAGAGACCTCCAGCTTCCCTCGCCTTCCCTGGACCTCAGACACTGGAGCTGGTGGGGGGAGGGGCGAGTTACTGACACACCTGTCCTTTTCTGGACGTTCCCATGTGTACATGGGCTCTTGGCCCTGGGCTCATGGTGTGCAGCTTTGAATCTATCCTTGGACTCCAGCAGGCAAGGTACAAGTGGACGATGACAGGGGGTGGATTTAGAAATGGGTGATCTGTGTTCCAGGCCAGGCTCTGTGGCTTCGCCTGCGGGTGGCAGCTGAGCAACTCTTAGTCTGGGATTCTCTCTGTCCTCAGCCGTCAGGTGGGTTACAGGGGGGATGCTGCCTCCTGTATTCACGGTGAGGGGTGAGGGCTGAGGCCCACGTGTAGATCACCTGTTCAGTGCTGGGCACATACAATGTATCTCACAAGTATCAGTGGCCTTCCATGTCTCCACAGCCAAGCCTAGGGCTCAAGTCCTGTATATTAGGCCCTGCTCTAAGGACACGCCTAGGGACATTTCCCTTCTTATTTCTTCAGATGGGAAAAGACGCAAGCTATCCAGTCTCCCCACTGTACCCTCTCCAGATTACAGTAATGTCCATTTTTTTTTTAAAGAAGCTAACACCACCCACCCTCAAATCCTTCGAACTGTCCTGGAAACCAACTTGGTACCGTGTGACTGCCTCCAGATGGACAACTTTCCCGAACTGGGCCACTTGGCTTCTCTCCTAAAATATGGAATTAGGTCTGGAAGCTGGCAGGGCAGTCTTGCTGGGCCCATAATCCTAAGAAACAGGGGCATGCAAACGAAGAACACCTTTGCCAGGCTAATGGGAAAAGGCTGGGCCAACCGTGTAACGTTAGGGCCCTTGATTGAGACTATCAGGATGGGCCTGGAGAGTGTCTCAGTGGGATGACTGTCCCGCAGGATGGGGTTCTGGGTTTGATCTGCACATGGTGGTGCATTACTAGAACCTGAGCACTTGGGAGGCTGAGGCAGGAGGATACAGAGTTCAAGTTCAACCTGTTCTATGTAGTAAGTTAAATGCTAACACGAGACCCTGTCTCAAGATGGTCAGCACATAAGCCATATCCAGGACCTTAGGCATACAGGGCCCTTGGCAGCTTCACAGGCTAACCAGGGAAAGGCGGCTCAGTTTTGGCTTCTCCGAGATTCACCCTGCAACCCCCTTGCAATCTCACACTGCCCTGGAATTGTTTCATCAGGATTCCTAAGCCCCTCTCTCCTCACTGTGAGCCTAGACATCAGCGCAAACGCAATAAGGGACTCGTTGAGGGCTTGTGCATCACCTGTCTGTGGCGTCCATGGGGATCCCTCTGCCCCCTAGCCCACAGTAGCAGCCGTATCCATAATAGGAGAAGAAGGCGCTGCGCCCTGTGATGTGTTTGACCATCCTCTGGAACTGCCAGAAGCTGCTGAGGGTGGAGGTCGTCCCTGCCAAGGAGAAGACGAGAAAGGAGAGGAGCCTGAGGGCCCGCAGGCCTCGCTGGAGTGCCTGCAGTGAGGTGGGCAGTCCAGGGCCCTCATACGAGGTGCCAGCCTCCTTCACGGGGAAGAAAATAGAATCAGTGTTACTCCATCACCCAGCAGGTTTCTTGCTAACCAGGATGAGGCCAGGTTCCCCAACTGTCCCTCTACCACCATCCAGGTCTGATCAGCACTAACTAGGAAAGCTCAAAGCCAAGGTTCCAGGCAGTCCCTCCTCTAGAAAGCAGCAGGCATTAATAGTCTCCTAGGAGAAGCAACATTCAGGGGTAAGAGATCAGAAAACATCCTTCATCCAGTCTGTTAAATGGCACATACACACAGACTCATCAATTCTTATTATTCTTAATAGACAGGGTCTTCTCTTACTACATAATCCTGGCTGGACTGGGAGGTCCTAAAGAGACCAGGCTGGCCTTGAACCTGAGGAGATCCTTCCCTCTCTGTCTTCAATGCTGGAATCACAGGCATGCATCAATAGGCTTTTGTACTTCTACAAAGTACTTACAGACACACAGAGAGATGCTTATACAGGATGTTTGCTGGCAGTGTGGTCTGTAACATCAGAGTACTGGAAAGTATTACACGTCCACCCCCAGGAGGATGGTCATCAAAGTACTCATCTTAGCAATGCATCACTTGTAATAGGTGAACTCCAGGACATGAGACTGAGGTAGACAGGTAAGAACAAGGCCATATTCGTTTGGAATACTTCCATGTACCTTTTTAATAAGCACATGGTGGTGGTGGCTTGAATAAGAATGGCCCCAAATGCTCACATATGTGTAAGTTTGGTCACCAGGGACTGGAACTGTTAGGGAAGGATTAGGAGGTGTGGCCTTGTTGGAGGGAGTGTGCCACTGGGGGTGAACTTTGAGGTTTCAAAAGCCCAAGCCAAGCCTAGTCTCTCTTTCTCTGCCTACAGATCAGGCTGTAGCTCTTGACTGCTTCCCCAGCACCACACTTGCCTGCCTGCTGCCATGATCCCTGCCCTGATGAGAATGGACTAAGCCTCTGAAACTGTAAACCAGCCCCCAATTGAATGCTTTTCTTTATAAGAGCTGCCTTGGTTATGGTGTCTCTTTACAGCCACAGAATGGTGGTAATGAAGAAACATGTAGTATTTTGTTCCTGGATTTTGAGTGTGTGTGTGTGTGTGTGTGTGTGTGTGTGTGTGTGTGTGTAGGCTTGCCCTCTGCAGATTCCAGAGCAGTTGTATCTAGGTATAGGAAAGTGATAGCCCCCGAGAACCCGAGAAGGCTGTACCTTGGCTACTCTGTATTTTATGGCTTTTCTCTGTGGCTAAACATAAACTTCTCTGGCCCAAGCTGGCCTCAAACTCACGTGTAGTCAAGGATGACCTCAAACTTCCAACTCTCCCACCTCCACAGCTGATTACAGACTCGGGCCCTCCTGCCTGGCTTTATTCAGTATTGGGGGTTGAATCCAGGTTTTTGTATATGGTAAGCAAGTACTCTTCCCACTGAGCTATATCCCCAGTCCTGCATTTGATTTTTTAAATTATAAACATATATTTGGTTTGTGATAAAAATACAGCAAATGCATGAACTCAAAGAAGGAAAACAGCGCGAGGGATGGGGGATGTTTCTCAGCTCCCTCCCGCCTCAGTGCTGAGTTGGATGCCTTGACCTGATTTCTCAATCCTCCTGCCTCCACTTCCCAAGTGCTGAGATTACACATTGGTATGATTTTGAAAACTGCAAAGCTCACTAGCAACTTGGGGAAAGAGCGAGAGAGACCTAACTTTGATATGTCTGACTCACCGCACCCCAGAGGTACCTTGACAGGGCTGGAACCAGCAGGGAGCTGGTTTGGGACAAACAGCTAACTTTTTGTTTTGTTTTAACAGACCTCAGATGGTTCCCAGGAAGCCCTTCAGATTGCACACCTCTCTTTGCAGAGGTATGCAATCTGGAGCTTGGTAGCAGTGACTCGGTTTGACCAAGTATTCCACTAGCCATCATCGGGATGCCTTCCCCGGAAGAATTACTCCAGCTGGCTGGGATCACGCCTGCCGTTTTGTACGACAGTACACATAGCTTCAACTAAAGGCAACCAGAATGGGAAGGAAGAAAACCTCCCAGACCGGGAGTTCTCACACCACAGCCGAACATCATTTTTCCAGTATGCGGTCAATATCCCTGGATTCTGAGATGTTCTGTGAGGGCTCAACACTGTGACCAGCCCACCAGACAGCAGAACCAGAGGTAGGAGAACTTTAGGGGGGAGGCTGGTTCTCTCCTTAGTGCCTTGTACCCTTCCTCCACTCAATGCTACCCCTGTGACATCGCCAGAAAGATGGCCTCCCGGCACTCTCTCAGAGGGCTTCTACTTACAGCAGAAGATGAAGACAAGGAATATAGCAATGGCCTTCATTTCCAAAGAGACCAGGAGGTCCAGGGTACCTAGGTTCCACCTTCATCTGTCAGTTCAGCTCCTTTTGTGGGAGGAGGTAAAGAAAAAGACCATTTAGGTACAAGCCACCAATGCAGCCCAGGCCTTTGGATGCCCTTAGCACAGGGCAGAAGCAAGCATGTTTGAATACGACACCTGTCCTTGCACTTACGTAAAACGTAAGAATGGCCCAACCGTTTGAAAGAGGTGAACACCAGTGGTAACTTTCTTTCTCTGCAACACTTTCACTCTTTGGGGAAGTCAGCATTCCGTTTTCCCAGGTTTAAGTGGCATATATGGTACCCACCATGGGAGTGGTTCAGAAAGCCGAATTTATCAGCATCCCCTGCCAGCTGCAGTATTTCTGCTTTGGTCCCTGGTACCAGAGTTGCAGACTCACCTCCTCTAAAGCCTGGTTTCTATGGCTGGCACATGAGAACCAAAGCTCTGTGAATAAAGTCAAACCTTGACAGTGTCACAAGCATTACGTCACAAGACCCTCACGTCAGCTTCAGAGTTTCTATCTCCACTTAAGAGATGGGCTGGACCAGGGATGCAGCTCAGCTGTCAGGGTGCTTGCCTAGCACTGCAAAGCCGTGGGTTCGATCCAGTCATGGTAGCCTATACCCATAATCCTAGCACTCAGGAGGTAGAGACAGAAGGATCAGAAGTTTGAGGTCATCCCTGGATACATAGAAAGTCTGAAGTCAGCCTGGGATCCATGTGATCCTGTTTCAAGAAAAAAAGATCAGCCGGGTGGTGGTGGCACATGCCTTTAATCCCAGCATTTAGGAGGTAGAGCACACAGATCTCTGTGAGTTTGAGGCCGTCTGGTCTACAAGCTAGTTCCAGGACAGGCACCAAAGCTACACAGATAAACCCTGTCTCAAAAACAAACAAACAAAGAATAGATGACTAGCTGGCTCTCTGGCTGGCTAGACAGAGGTTAGCAGAAGCACAGAGAGAATGAACCAATTTCTTACAGTCCCACAGATGTCAGCTAGCATGGACTTGCGGTGAGGAGCAGCTGGAATAAGGGAAATGACAACGAAATTTAGAACTAAAACCAAAATCACACAGAGATGTGTGTAATGAGAAGGAAAGCCTGTAAGGGACACTTCCACAGGGCAGTGGAGGAAAATGTGGGTGCCTGTCCCTCCATGGAGTGGTCCCACGATCGGCACACAGCTTTCTTTCAGTCCAAGTGCTCTCCCCAGCCCCATGAGACACCAGGCTACCTCTCCCCCAGCCCTAGGAGACACCAGGCTACCTCTCCCCAGTCCCAGGAGACCTCAGGCTACATCTGACTGTGATGGCTCTTGGAGAGGGAACAATAGCTCAGCTGAGCTTCCAGAACTTGTTAGGTCCAAAAAGCCTCAGACAGGTTTTCACTCAGTGGTGAACTTTCCCATGAAGACTTCAAAATGTCAGTCCTACCGCAAGAGCCCTGCAAGAGCCCACCTGGTGGCCTAGCTGCCTGGCCTTCTTTGGTATAACTCATGGATGCCGAGAGGCTGGGCCCTGACCAGGCTGGTCCTGGCCAATCATCATTTCAGCAGCTGTACAAGTTTTTCTAATGAGGTTCTGTCTCCACGGGAATCTGACCATACCAGGCCCAGGCTGGAGCTGCAAAGAAAGGACTCGCATCTTTTGAAGCAGTAGGTGATGAGACTTCAGATACAAAGGGCCCTGGGATGCGTGCCTGGTAATGAAATCCGACTGAAGTACCAACTGTGTGCTTAGCTAATGAGAAGACCCAAGGAAGGTCTAAGAGAGGCTGCCCAGCTGACTACAGGTAAACAGAGACCAGTCAGAGAGCAAGAGCCCCATATGAGCCTTGACTTCCATCAGTGGTATTGCCCCCAAGCACAGCTGCTGGCTGTGGCATTGCACAAGAGGCAGCAACAGAGGAGGGCAGTGAACTCTGAGTCTATGCCAGAGAGAGCTGGAGCTGTCCCAGTATTTCCTGTCAGTGGATCTGGGCTCCAGGACCCCGAGCTTCCTGTCTGTGAAGTGGGGTCAATGACCTGTGTCTTCTGTGGAGCCAGCAAGGTTCTAGACGCTCTTGGTATGAAAGCACTTGGTCAACATGGGGCCAAGGTGAGTGACAGTTCCATATATTCGGCTTAACAAGACAGGAAATGTCACTACATGCTTGGATAAGTTCCAACAAGGTGCAGGAAGCAATGAAACTTCGGTGGCTCCATTTTATTATCCAGACACTTCTCTGTGGAAGGTCTCCCAGGAAGAGGGTTTTTAAGGAGCGATGTGGAGCAATGCAGCCTGTTGGCCTCGTTACCAGATTAGATGCTTTCTTCACAAAAGTTATCTGTGTTCTCGAGGTCTAACAGGGTGAAAGTCAACAGAGAAAACCACTGAAAGATTCTGAAATCTAGAAGTCACTAGTTCAAAATGGGCCTACAGATTCTCTGGGAACAAACTGAAAAAAAGAAAATAGACCGCCCACCTTCAGCCAGCTCCAAGGGAGGCCATTTACATCCCAAGCTAGCCTTAAGGTGTCACCTGGTAGCTTGTAAGTCTTTCAATTAGAAGAGCCAGATGTAGAATGGTGTCACCATTGTCATTATCCATATCTCAGTTGCCGGGCACCTACGCCCAGCAGGCATTGTGCGGGCTGAGTGTGGGATGGAGGGACAAACAAGTTCCTGCCCCTGGGCAACTTATCACCCACCGAAAGAGTGTCTGGGGGAGAGGAAAGCAAAATACTTCTATGTGCCAGGCACCAATGCAAAGATCTTCAGTGGATTATCTCATTCACTCTCATTGCAATCAGAGTCTTAAAGAGTCCGTTCTATAGATGTATAAACTAAAATACATGCCCAGGGTGTCTCAAGGCAAAGTGGCAAAGCTAGGATTGAAACTGTTGCTTGGGCCCCACAGCCTACAAGTCCTATAGCCAGCGGAGCAGGCAGGTCCAGATGAAGTGTTTAGGAGTGGGGTGGTGGGGTACACAGTAGGCTTTGGGGCCAAATGGTTCTAAGCTCCCAAACTGCTCTACTATTCATAAGCAGAAATCCCTGAACTCTATCATGCTTTAAAGGCAAAGAAACATCATGGATAATGCCTGCATGGAGGAGATTCACGGACATCCAAGGAGCTGACCGGGGAATGGTGCAGAGCGCCATCTTGAGCATGTTATCACAGATCATAAGGAACTAAAATACTGCACTGGGAGATTGGGTGGGGGCATGGTCAGGAAAGGCCTTCATAGAACAGGTGACTTAAGAAGGGCCTTGAAGGATCAAGCAGTCTGGATTCACCTTGTCGGGCAGATGTGAACCCGGATGTTGGAGATGAGAAGGTCAAGGGCCTATTTGGGGAAAAAGCTGGCTAGAACTCAGAAGAGAGCAGGGAGCGGCAGCATGGAACAAAGGAAGATGGGTCCTCGCACTGGCAGGCAGGAGAGTGGCCTCCAGCCATTCCTTGAGAAACTAGCGAATGTGTGAGCATGTTCAGTCCGGGCATCAGAGGGAACATTCTTTGAAGATATCTTCTGGTGCGGGTCAGGAGATAAAGAGAGGGACTAGCTGCCCGCCTCTTCCCCGCAGGGCTGCATCACACCATGCCGGAGAACAAAGAGTCGTGTGCTGCTGAACATGAAATGGACCACAGGCACAGCCAGCACTTCACCATGCCCCAGCAAGGGCACACACACACCACTCTCGCACACAGCGGGGGAGCCAGGATTGAAATCGACACAATTCTCAGAGGATTGCATAATTCTTAGGTGAAGTTAAAATAGCTGGTGAAGGATCTACTTTAATCTCTTCTGAGTGGGCGCCGGAGGGCTGAAGAGCATCGCCTGGAGACTTCTGACAGCATCATTAACAAGATGTAAGCCAGCAACACCGCAACGCAAAACAACCAGCTTCTAAAAGTACCTCCTGGATATCCAGAGACAGAATTCCCAAAAAGGAGGCCAGCCTAGCCCAGGCCCTCATCCAAGGCCAGGTGCCCCACCAAGGTCAGCAGCTTCCTCTCTGAGATGGGCTAACAGCCCATCACTCAAACGAACCTCTCCATGCCAGCTCCTAAATTATGTACCATTGGTACCAATCACGTTATATATAATGCCATCCAGCCCGTGTCTACTCTCCTACCCTTGGCTCCAAGTATACTGAGTATTATTTATAACAATCAAGTACTATTTATAATTACAAGTCCTACTTATAACTGTCAGCCAACAATGTGCCTTTCTGACCCAACCGTGAATGTGCTGACAAGGATTTAGAGTTGTGCTCATATCAAAATCCCATCCCTACACATGCAGGACAAAGCAGGTAGCAAAATATGTGGTAATGACGCCAGGTAATGGATCTGTGGTTTTTGACTGCCTAGAAGTAACTTGTACCGGTCCAGTCACTAAATTACTCTAAGGGCCTCGAGCAGAGTCTGTTAAAGTCATTTCAAGGCCAGCTCAGAAGGAAGGCTTCATTAGACTGGAACAAAGACGGGGAGGAGCTGGGCAAACGAAGGACCAGGATAGGCTGGGGAAGGATCTTCAAGCCAAGGGTTCAACAGAAGCGAGGGTGTTGAGCCTAGGGAGGGCATGTGGATGTGTGGCCGTGGTCGGGAACCAGTGGAGCACCACAGGGGCAGTAACAGGGGACAGAGTCAGAAGTCAACCCTTCTCTGTTCCAACAGACCAGAAGCAAGGAAGCAGTAGTGGGGGTGGGGGAGGGTGTTAAAGCAGTCAGTGAAAAAGGTTTCCACACCTTGATTTCTGTTTTTCCCTGCAGAGGCCACAAGACTGTCATTCCAGAGGGAGGAGGGAAGGTAAAAGGTGGGAGGCTTTGCGGGGGTGGGGGAGCCGACAAGATGGCCAGGGAGGGTAGAGGGGCTGACTGACGTTGGGAAACCACACAAGTGCCCTGACGTTCCTTTGTGTGACTCTCCATGATATCTTTAGTGCTTGGTGTGGATGGACATTTTACAGCTAAGACTCTATCATACAAATGAGACACAATGACAGAAGGCTAGGAGGACTCTTACCAGCAGAACGGCTGAGGGAGTGAACCATAGCTTCTGAGCAGGGTAGAGGAAAAGCAGACAGGCTGTGGGACTCCAAATCTCAAGGCTGTTGGAAAACAGAGTGAAGTGGCTGGAGTTGCTGACTGTGTAGTGAGGCCCTCAAAGGAGATAAGGGACAGCCGGAGCGATGGAGGCGCACGCTTTTAATCCCAGCACTCAGCCGGCAGAGGCAGGTGGATCTCTGTGAGTTTGTGCGAGTTCGAGGCCAGCCTGGTTTACAAGGGCTAGTTCCAGGGCAGGCTCCAAAGCTACAGAGAAACCCTGTCTCGAAAAACCAAAAAAACCAAAACCAAAACCAAACCAAACAACAAACAAACAAACAAACAAAAACAAAAAAAAAAAGGAGATAAGGGGTGCTGGTCACAAAACTCAGCGAGTGTCCCCTGGGTGGGAATGGGAAGGGACACTGACAGGGTGGGGCCAAAGACAGACAGAGGGATTTGTTGCTGGTTCCCACCCCCACCCCAGGGCAGGGTTCCCTTTCCCTTGAACGCACTCTCCCTAGATAGACAATAGTCAGGCCAGGTCAGGAAGAAGAGATAAGGTGGCAGAGGCCCAGGCCCCGGGTCCTGCGGCCTCCATGGGCGGGGCCACACCAAGGTCCTGCCTCGGAAATCTGTGAACCAGAGATTAAGTCCCGCGCTCTCTCCCGTGTCTAGGCTTGTCTAACTTAGCCAGCGCAGGCCTGTCCAGGCCAGGCGGGTTCCGGCCCCACCGGAAGCACGTGGCCCCCCACCCCTCAGCGGTTGCCACGGAGACCGGGCTGTTTACCAGCTGGTCGCAGCCAGGCACAGGAGGCTGATGGAGCTGAGCTGCGAGGTGAGAGGCCCACTGTGGGTCCCCAGAAAAGTGAGAGCCAGGCCTTTTAAGAGGACTTCCCCAGAGGCAGAGCCAACCTAATTGGAGCCTGAGTCTGCAGCAGCCAAGGGGCCCTCTGGGAGGGGCATATCCGAATCAGTCCCTGGAAGCAGATCCAGAGAGAGAGAGAAGGGACTCGGGTCCTGTGCAGAGGCAGGAGCTGGAGGGAGCTCTCTCCCCAAATCTGCCTTCATGCCCCAACCCTTCCTGCCATTCCCTGACACCCCCCTTCTGCACTTCTTTGCTTCTAGGCCTGACCACCCCTGGAAATAATAGAAGCCTCTCCCCCGCCCCCTCCTCCGCCTTTCTATCCTGAGTCAACCCTGTTCCCTTTGCAAAGCTTCCCTCGCTTGGTGGCTTGTGGTTTCCCTCATTCTGATCGCTGGTCTGGAGTAGCGCTGGGAATGGTGTCAATCTTGGCTCTCTCCATCCCCGGGTTGGTTCCTTTACACGGTTTAATTTTGTAAACCAGGCTGGGGGCTAGGGGGTGGCGGCAGGGGGGTGGTAGTAACTGATAAACAGTTTTAAAAGACCAATGCACGTGTGTGAGTCCTGGTATATGCCAACAGATGGTTTGTAGGTGGTTATATTTTGCAGCTTCTGCCATAGGTTCAGATTTGAGCTGTGAAGTAGTGTGGTCTGACCCCTTGGTGGCTTGTGGGCACCGTGGGAAAACAACAGGAATCTTGCTTTATTTTCGAGCCCGCGCCCCTTCCTTCCTGTTTGTGTGGTGGTAATCCTAAGGAATGGGCACCTGCCCTCCTGGCAACGCCTTGGAAATGGTGCCCAGTGTTTCGTTTCTGCCTCTTAGCAGGCCTCTGCCTCCTAGCTATTGTGTTTGAGTAAACAGGGCCACTTGTCTCCTCTGCTGGCAGCTTGATGGATGCCTACGCCTAGATCCTGTCAAATCACTTTGTGGTTGAGTGTCTGCCAGACCTAGAGGAGGTGAAATGAGCCAAGCAGGGATTATGCTGTCGTAGAAGCCTGGACCCAGGGCACAGGCAGAGTTTGGGACCCAGGGTGTGATAATAAAGGTTCCACGGATGCAGTTCTCCAAACACCTGTTCCCCACAGCATCCTGCCCTTGCACTGGGTGGGGGTGGGAGCTGGTGCTCCCTCCATGTAACAGATGGTCTCGGCACTGGGGGAGGAGGCAGTGGGTTCTAAAAGCAGGTTGGATGGAACGGTTTTACCTGAAGGAGGTGTTACTCTCTAAATAGCCACGAGTGGGCTTATAGAATTAGTCATAATTGAGGTTTTTTTTTTCTCTCTTGAGATAGCTTGCAGTCATGTTATCTTATGACCAGGGTGTCTTGAAATGACACCCCCTGAACATGGCTAATTATATAGAGTACCAAAAGGTATAGCAACTTCACGCACACACTCAAGTTTGACTGTTAAAAATAACCCAGCAGAGCGCCTCTGAGAACACATGACTTTCCTCATCAAAGTTGTTAGGGAGAGGTTTCTAAGTTACCAAACTTCCTGACAGTAGTCAAGCCTTCCCCAGGCATGTGTGGGTGTTGGAAGCCAAGCCTGTGATAATCCTGTAGAAGCTGTGGCAAATTAATAACTGTGCCCAAGCGAGGCGCTTACCTTCATCGGCTCAGCTGGACAGCTACGGCTTCCTCCTGCCACTCTGAGCAAGAAACTCATAGGGGGAAAAATAATCTTCACAGTCGATCAGAAAATAAATGAAACAGACAAGGAGATGGGAAGATATTTCTGAGGCCAAAACTTTTGGCTCAGGAAGAAGTTTCTGGACTGCCTGCTGCCAGCCTGGGCATGGAAGATGGAGAAGGAGAGTGGAGGAAGGTTAGGGTTGTGTATAGACTGGGACAACCACAGAGCCGTTTAAACTGTGGATGGGGGCTGAGGTGATGGCTCAATGGTCAAAGCATCTGCCTGAGGACCAGAATTTGGATCTCCATCTCCCATGTGCATGCCTAGTGGGTGTGGCAGCTCACCTATAATTCCAGCCCTGGAAGGCAGGAACAGAGTCCCTGTAGGAATCTAGCAAGACCAGCCATATGGGTGCGGTGGGGTGGGCTTTGGGTTTGGTTGACAGATCCCACCTCAGTGAATAAGATGTTAGAGCAATAGAGGATGATTTCCAGTGATATCAGCCCTGGACCTCCTTGTGTGCACGTGTGCTTGTCTACATCTGTGCCCACAAATACACAGCACACACATACACACACAGCAAATGGGAAAAGACAATAAATCTGAACGGGAAGGGAACCTTGTCTGAGATTACATCAGGTAGCACATTTTGGGTCCTTGCGCTTTGGTCCCTCGTGGTCTAGTAGACAATGCACACACAGAGCAGCAAGGGCCCACTGTTAAGGACTGAGTCATGGGAGGCGCTTGGAGGAAGTAAACCCGAGATAAGAGCAAGTGTGGCATTGGGGAGAAATGATTAGCTCAAGAAGTGTCTTGTAATTTTGAGGCCACTGCATAGGAGGAGGGAGCTGCCTGACATCAAACTCCTGGCCGTTCTCCTGGGGTCTCCCATCTGTTTAAGCCCCGAGTAGGAGGAGAGCCATCACCAATACCATCGAGGTATGCTCTAAAGCAGGTGTGTGTGTGAACCCATGGGTCACACGTGTCCAAGGATAGCTATGAATGTGGCCTGATAGCGTCCTATCACGGCGTCAAAAGTTGATCACTCCTGTTGAAGAGCAACAGGCAAAGCTTTGCTCTAAAATAACAAAAAGAAGCACGAGGCAGGCCTACGACCTAAACAAAGCCACACTCGTCCATCTGACCCTGCCCAGGACTGTCCCGCAGAGGCAGAGTTACCTGGTCTCCACAGCCTGAAAAGTCAAAATGGACGCCTGCTAGGTCTTCCTGTGGAAGCTTGCCAATCCCTTGTCCAGAATCTGAGCATCCCCTGTGAGTTCTAGCAGGCGATCAGGGCAACCCCTGTCCTCCCTGTCACCCGACCAAGCTGGGGAGCCGTGTTCCATGTGACTTGTGCAGAGCCACCTGGCAAGGTGAGGAAAGAAAGTTAGGGCTCAGTGTGGACTGAGAGGGAGGAGGAACTGAGGAAGGCCTGCAGCGGAGGGAGAACGGGGAGTCCAGAGGGCAGTGTGTCCGCTGTACATGATCCCAGGGCAGACAGCATCCCTTGTAGAGAGAAGTGACTTTCTGTTGTGTGGAGCTGAGTCTGGTTGTCCCGTTGTGTGTTCTAACAGGGTTACCTTCCATCTTTAAACAAAGGCAGCCACCCCTAACATTCCAGCCTCTGCATCTGAGGTCTGTGCCTGCCACTCCCTGGGGGAGCTTCTCGCTCAAGAGCCATCAAGGACGTGGAAGCTCAGTACGCTCTGCCTGATGTAGGGGTTCAGCAGGACCCTTCTGCCCCACAAACACTTTTCTCGGGTGGGGCCCGGTCAGACTTCACCAGACCACAGTGCACGCTATGGATTGTGCCGCCATGCTGGCTTTGTGCCGGCACAGCAGACAGAACTCAGTCGCTACAGACACATCTGTGGGAAAGTTGTCTGACTCGATTCTGTCTTGTCACAGGACTTGTTCCTTCTCAGGGTGGTCTTTCTGCTCCGTGGCCCTTCTCCATGAGAGTGAGAGTTAGTCCCCTGCCTTAGTCATTCTGTGTCATGCCTCCTTTTCTCATCGTTCCTTGAACATATCTATAGACTTGTGGATTTCACTCGTTTCTCTCCTCACTTCAATAATCTAAGTTCCAAGGACTTTGGTTCACTGCTGTGTTCCAGGGTCTGTTCTGAATGAGTCACAGTCGCTCCCCCTCCTCAGGTGTCAGAAACCCAGAGAATGGTCCCATATTCTGGCCCATTGATGCTTACTCTCCCAGTGCGCAGTGACTGGCAGAAGAGGGAATCCCAGTATTCCTGGAGCTTAACCCATGGCTTTCCCTGTTTCTGCCTGCTTCCTTAGGGGTCCTGAGAAGCAATGGCCACAGAAGCCCCTGTGAATCTCGCACCACCTGAACGTAGCACCGTGGTTGGTATCTCAGTCAACAGCTTCATCTGGCAGCGCAACTCTCTCAGGATGCATGTCATCAGGCCCAAGTCTGCCAAGGGTCGGAAGCGGCCGAATCTGCACAGAACACAAGGCAGGGGCGATGGCTCTCCCAGTGTACTGTCGGCTTCACCTCCGCCATGTTCCTCCGGGTCGTCAAGCAGTCAGAAACCAGGAGCCTGTGTCCCCACCTCTCCATCTCAGGGAACCCCTGATGAGATGCCGGAGCTGCTGCCACAGGTGCTTGTCGGGACCACCTCATCTCTCAATAAATACCCAGTCCTCCCTTCCATCAGCAGAAGGAGCCTGGAGGATGGGGCTGTGGACACGGTGGCCAGAAAGGCCAGTTCTCTACAGCTGAGTAACGTCCAGGCCCTTTACCAGGAGGAGGCCCACACCACTGTAAAGTCAAGCCAAGAAGATTCCAGAACCCAAGTCTGTGCCTTAGAGAAGAAATTCATCATCCGCACCAAGAGACAGAGTTCCTCTAGGGCCTCAAACATGGAGGAGCCAACAGACCAAGAGCCGAGGCTGTTGCTAGCTATAAGGTCACCCTCAGGCCAAAGGTTCGTGCGCTACTTCCGGCCCAGTGATGACCTACAGACTGTCCTTGCAGTGGCTGAGCAGAAAAACAAAGCCACCTACCAACACTGCAGCATCGAAACAATGGATGTGCCCAGAAGACGTTTCTCTGACCTCACCAAGTCCCTGCAAGAGTGTGGTATCCTCCATAAATCTGTTCTGGGCATCTCCCAGGAGGAGGGGGAGGGGTGACCCTGAGCCCACAGCACCAGGCTGGGGCCCCAGGCCTTCAAGCACACAGCCTGGTTTCAAGCACCACATGAGCCCAATGAAGCTCAGACCCTAAATCTGTGGAGGCAGGGACACGTCTGTACACGGGCTGAGCCCCCTGGGAGGAAATTTCCTCCTTCTAGAATTCTCCCTTCCCCACGCTCCGGAGCACCTGCATGCATGCAGTGAAACCTGTGTCTCTCTCGAAGCCAACACTTTGCTTCTCTGTATCTGACATGAGATTGAACTCTTCCCAGAGAGGATTCTAGTCTAGTAAATAGCCAGGGTTTAGGAGTTATGGAACTGACATTGGTATTTCTTGCAATATCATAAGAAACAGGCTGTTGATCACCTGTGTTTGGAAGCAGCCTTCTTACTGAGCTGCAGAAGCCGAAATCCCTGGAGATCCCTGTTGGTGTGATGTGACAGCAAAGGGAAGAACCGTCTGTCCCAAACCCCCAACACACACACACACACACACACACACACACACACACACACACACACAGAGAGAGAGAGAGAGAGAGAGAGAGAGAGAGAGAGAGAGAGAGTTCTGAAACATCCTAGAGCTAGCCCTAATTAATTGCCTCTACAGTCATGGGCTAGCCAAGGCTACTTTTGAATGGACTGACTAGGTCGACGCTTCTTGGTAGCGCCTGTCTACAGAATTCTTCCGAAATGGAGGTGAATGTGCCGTCCTCTGTTGTTTTTAAGACACGACAGCTACAGGTCTGTACAGGTTTGTGCTAACAACCCCTTGGCATAGGTAAATATTGATCCCCAGTCTTGCTGTCTTACCCTCTTCAAACATGGGAGGGCTTTGGCGCAACATCAGCACATCCTGGGGTCTGATGCCAGGCCCTCCCTAGAAGAAAAGTGGCTCCTAGGGGTTTCTTTCCTGTGCTCCTGTTGAGACCACACTGCAGCTGGCCGACTGGCATGGAGTATCGCTGTGTCCCCTCAGCCAGAGCTGTCACAGGCACCGTCGAGTCTTATTTTTCCTATGGAGATGCAGCTTATTTGCCAAAGGTTCTCCTGCATTGCAGGTTCAGCCAGACACCCACCTGCATCCCTTTATGGCCAAATCCCCAGTTGGGAGTCAGGAACATGGAGGCCTTGTGGGTACCTTTTCCCCCTTAGAGCACAGTCACCACATGGCCCTGGGTGCTAGTACCTGTCCCCGCGCCCTCAGTACACAGACAAGGCAGGGTTCGGGTGTTCTTGGAGCATCCTGGGAAAAGGGGCTTGGACAGCACACATGGTTAGAGATGTTCCTTCTAGCGGGCTGCCCCTTGGTGACAGCGACGGTTACTCTGAGCAGGCTGGCTCCTCCTCCCCAAGCCACCTCCAGCGCCACACAGATCACTCTAGACTAGGATATACCAGTCCATTTGCCAGCTCTACCATCCTGCCTAGGTTAGTGGCTCCTTGGATGGGAAAGGTCAGCCGAGACCGGCTTCGATGCACTTGGTCACCTCGTCTACTCAACGACCATGGTAGGAGGGGCCGGTGGCTTGCGCTTGGACTCCCCCAGTACAGGTATTTCACTTCCCCGCCAAGTGCACAACTCTGCCTCTGAGCTAGGAGCCTATAAAAATCACACCTACTCTATGGTAAGAATAAAATTCCACCCACCTGCAGCTTGGTGATTCCAAGCCTTGGATTGTGCCAGTGAGAAATGTAACAAGCTGGATGGAATTGGAGACTCCTGGGTGTGGGGCTTTGCTGCTGCTATTCAGCTTTGAATTTTAGGGTGCTGGGGAAATACGGGGAGCACGAGGCATAGGAGTATTTTAGGATCTTTTAGGGGGCATGATTAAAGCTAGATTTGAGCCATCACAATAATCTTTTTTCTCTTTTTGAACAAAAGATAATGATACGAACAATAAAAGCTGATTTGTGTGAAACACTGGAGAAACATGTCTTATATTTAAGCCTGAGACCTGAGCCACCAGACAGGAGTGCACAGGGTGGCATGTGACTCATTTTCAGGTGTCTGCCTGGGCAATCACATATTCCGCCATTGCAGCCAAGGCTCCCTGTACACAATCAGATGCCCACCCTGGAGGCCCCATCAAAACTGCCTCAGCTTGTAGCCTAGCACATAGCTTGGGAAGCATCTCTTCCACCTCTCCCGTCTTCTGTGGCATCAGGGACACTCTGGTCTAAGGGGCCCTGCTGGTCAGCACGTTCCCCTTGGTGGCCCTTGGTAGGCCATCCTCGCCCGGTGTGTGGTCACAGACCTTACTCTGTGTAACCAACAGTCAACCGAGGGAGCATGACTAACCCCCAAGAGAACACAACCCTTCCGAGGTCAGTCCGTGGCTCAGCTGTATCTGCGATAGACCCAGTGTTGGGAGAGGGGCCACGCTATAGCCCACTGCCTTTTCCTCCCACCACTTCCAAACACACACTTCCACCTTCTCCAGGAGTGCTGGAAAGATTTCTCATCATGGACACAGAGGACAGAGCTTCAAGGCAGGTCCGCATACTTCCCGCCCCAGCCCCATGGTACATTAGTCCCCTCCCTGGCAGCAGCAAGACCAGCAGGAGAAGTGACTCATCACCGAAGAGCCAAGAAATTTGCATTGACAGACGACAGGTGGCTCTGTCACAGCCCTCACCCTGACTGTACCTGGAGATGCAGCCATCAGCCAGGCCAGGGCGGTCCTGTCAGAGAGACAGCCTGTGAACAAGCGACCTGAAGGAGGGAAAATCCTAGCCTCACACAAGAGATACGGGGGAGTCAAGCTTTCAGTCTTACCGCCACCTTAAGTGGGTTTCCTTGTCAAAACCTCTCTGCTCCAGGAAGTTCCTCCTGACTTTTTTTGTCCTCTTCACTGTAAGCTGAGATGAAAGAGTGCTTGGCGCTTGAGGTATCATTTGGATGAGCCTTCCATGTGGTGAGATCCATTTCTCTGCCTTCTAAGTGGACTCCCCGGATGGGCTTTGGGTTCGACATCAACTTGGAAGTCTTTTATCGAAAAGGGCTATCTGTTTTCTTCACCCATGGCCACACATGACAGTGGTGTGGTTGCAGTTAAGTCTAGAGCCCTACTTAATCACTACACCAGAGACAGCCAAGCCACAAGCCACACTGTGGTGGGTAGACCCACTCCGGAGGCCCAGCAATGGAAACAGAATACACTTTTGGTGAGTCAGTTACTAACATGCAAGTCAGTACTTCCCATTATAAAAATTAAGTCAGATGGTTTCCTTTTTGTCCACACTAGTGACATGCCACTTCCTTTTCTGATTAGGGATATTCTTTCTAACGTTCCTCTCTCTTCTTATTTGCTCAGACATTCGGGAAGCATTTGCTCTCCTGAATAGTCAACACAGATGAACAAACCGAGGTATTTCTGGGCAGTTAAATTCTATCCTAAAGGGCTGAACAGTTGTTGTGATAAACACTGGTGGGTGAAATTCAACCAGGCTTCTTCAGCCTGCGCTGCCTGGAGAGGCACACTGGCTCTTGGTGTAGTAGACTGGAGAGGTCAGGGTGGAAGACGGAAGATCAATTCCTAGAGGTGGATAACAACTAGGCGAGAAGTGGGAGAGGTAGCCTAGGCTCCTGGCAGGTGGTTAGATTCAGGATACACAGTCTTTTCACTTTGGAAAGAGAAAGGAGTGTAATTGACAGGTTGGGATCTCCTTGAGCCGGCCCACTAATATCTTTAGTGTGGAGTTCTTTCAAAGACAAACACGAAAGCACTCAACCCACAGCAGGCAGGGGAAGTGCCTTGAGCTTCAGCGGCGTTCATCTGAAGGGAAGACACAAGAGTTTATGAATGAAATGTGTCGAAAGAAACAAGGCTATTAACTGCGTCCATTGAAAAGAGATGCACCCCCAACGGTCCCTGACTCATCCAATGTTGAGGTCCAAGTTCACACTAATCGCCACCTCCCTCCAAGGGTGTGATTCCTGAGCAGGGTTGCTTTGGAAGACACCTGTGCATCGTATGAGCTCCTGGCTCTTCCATCCTTCCCTTTTGCTGCCCCTCACTTCATTCAACTAAATCCTGAAGCTGATTTGGAATACATGTCTTCTCAAGAGGGTCTAGTGGCCCACTTAATGAACCTCCTAACTTTATACTTTGCATGCCTGCCTGTTGACAATGAGGGTTCCAGAGCTTTGGGTCTTGGTCCTTTGGCGATCAACTGAAAACTCCCGTTTCTGATATCTGTCCCTTGTGATGGGAGATGTGTCTGCTCCGGCTCATGGGCACCTCCAGCAGACAGCATGGGTCTCTTTGAGCTCTAGCCCCCTGTTAGCAATGACCTAACATCTGAGCAGAAACCTGAAGAAATGGCAGCAACTCCACCTCCCAATCGGAAAGTAAGGTCGGGAAACTGCTACCCATGGCCCACCCCTAAGTCCAATCATGCGATGCTGTGAAGTCCACTGTGATCATACTCAAACATAGCATGTCCCATGGGCCAGGTCTGGACTCTGATGCTCTGGGGGATTTCCTGTATCCGGCCTCTGCCTCTGCTTGCTCTTTTCCTCCTGTCAGGGTTCCCAGCGGCCCTCCACTGCATTCAAATCTATAACACATTAATTCAACAAATATATATTAGGTACCTATATGCCAAGCATATTTGACCTATCAGAGAACAGAACAGGCTCTCCAATCTCTGTCCTTAAGGAAGTTATGTTTGGTAGAAGGGGAGATAGAAAGTAAGCGAAAGTCATAATACAGGATGCAGAAGACAAGGAATGGCTCCCAGTAGAATTCAGGCCAAGGATCGGGTGGGTGGCTGCACAACTCAGGGGAAGTGGAGAGTTTCTGGGACACCAGTCAATTTACCTTCCTTCCTTCCTCTCTCTGTCCCCCTTTTTCTGCAGGATGTCATGTTATTTCCAGAAGCCCAGAACTTAATATATAGCCCAGGATGTCCTTGAACATCTGATCGTTGTATCTGTACCTCTCAAATGCTGGAATTCTAGGGGTGTGTGCCACCACACCCGGTTTACTGTGCTGGGGTTCAAACCCAGGGCTCGGCACATGCTAGATGTGCACTCTACCCACTACCCCACACCCCCAGACCATGATTACCTTATACAAAGTAACAATTTTATTATAATAATATTATTAAAGCCAATGCTGATCTAAATATGCATCATCTTTATCATACATTACTTCCGTGGACAAAAAGGAGGCGGCGGGGGGGGGGCTCATTCACAGAGTCAGTTATAGCCTCCCCTCAAACTAAACATAAGTTGTTTCAGTGATATGAAAACTGGGAAGTATAGGGAAGACTGACAGGGGAAAGAAAACCGTCCACAGCCTCTCTAGTCAAAATTGCCATTGTTAATATCTCAGCAGGTATTTTTTATCCTTAGCGATTAAGATTATGTTGCACATTACTTTCTTGCTAACAGCCACAAATGCATATGTTTAACATTCGCGTTTCTAGCAAGAGCTTGCATGCTCTCCACCCAAGTTTCTATGGGCTCATGATCATTTTAAGATTGAGTAATACCTCGATGTGTTGATGTCTTATCATCGTTGAACTTTCTCCTTTTGTTGTTGTTTGGTTGACTTTGTTTTTGCTGTGGAGCAATCTTTGTACACTGAAAGCATGTCTTACTCTCACTGGTTAATAAAGGGCCAACTGACCTATAGCTGGGCAGGAGAGATTAGGTGGGAGAGCCAGAATAAGAGAATTCTGGGAAGAAGAAAAGCAGAGTCAGAGAAGTCTAGAGAAGATGAGGAAGAAGCAGCATGAAGTTCATAGATGAAATAAATGAGCCACATGGCATGTTATAGGTAAGAAATATGGGTTGATTTAAATGTAAACGTTAGCTGGTAAAAAGCCTAAACTATTGGCCGAGTATTTATAATTAAAATTGAGTCTTCTGTATCAGTTATTTGGGAGCTGCTGGCAGGATAGAAACTTCCACCAACATATTTTTTGAGACGAGGTTTCTCTGAGTATCCTTGGCTGTCCTGGAACTCACACTGTGGACCAGGCTGGCCTTGAACTCAGAGATCCACCTGCCGAGTCCTAGGATCAAAGGTGTGTGTGAGTCACCACTGCCCGTCTGAACTTTCTCCCTTTTTAATGCGAGCTCCCAGTTTTGTTCTTAACCACAGAAATCAAAGCTAAAAGTCTTCATTTATGCAGCTTTTGTTTTTAATCTCTTTCAATATTTCCTTAGGACAAACAGCCAGAAAGACAGTCAAGGGTTGTATTTTGTTTTTTCTCAGTAGCCGTATGGCCCAAACAGGCTTTAAGCTTGCCAGCTTCCTGCCTTGAACTGGGAGGCAATAGAATTAAAGGCCCCAGGCTCCAGTCCAGTGACTTTGCTTTGCCTCTTAAATGACTACAGGGCAAAGTAAACAGGAGCTTAGGCTATTGCTTTTTATAACTTCCCAGCATTTTTTAAAAAGATTTATTTATTTATTATGTATACAGTATTCTGTCTACGTGCATGCCAGAGGGGGGCACCAAATCTCATTAAGGATGGCTGTGAGCCACCATGGGGGGGGCGGGCTGGGAATTGAACTCGGGACCTCTGGAAGAGCAGTCAGTGCTCTTAACATCTGAGCCATCTTTCCAGCCCTTCCCAGCATTTTAAAGTGGAAAATAGAAACTAAATCTTTTCTTTATTTTGGATAGCATTGGTTACGATTAATTATTAACATTTTCTGTGTCTTTCAAGACACTTCTAGAATTTGTGTGTGTGTGTGTGTGTGTGTGTGTGTGACACACATGCATGCGCCATAGTAAGCAGCTTGTGGAGGTCAGAGGGCAACTTCTGGGAGTGGGTTCTCTCCTTCTAGGGTTGGTTCCAGGACTGAACCCGAGCCACCTCGTGCACAACTTATGCTACTTATGCTGCGAACACTTCGGCCTGTGGAGCCATTTCCCAGTGCGCTATTTCAAACTGAGAAGGAGGGC